CACAAGAGTCAGCATCAATATTATACGTTTTATTTACTTAGTCTTGGCTTTTGACTAAAAAGCATATAATAAATTAAGTGGTGTAGTAAGTTGGTACCAATATGCCCGTCGAGATATTAATGCGAACCTTGAGCCTGATATCCTTGGGCAAATTTTTCTAGACCCGGTTCCAGAATTGACAGCGTGAGCCGTTGACCTCCTGCCGTGATGTTCAATCTTTTTCCACTTTTGGTTAGAGAAACTACTCTTCTGAATTCACATTCAACCAAGTTTGTGAATTGAAAATCAAGGAAATTTATTTCAGCTAGTTCACACAGTGTGGAATATCTGTTAAGACTATCAGCCCTTATCCAAAAATACATTTATATCACGTAAAAATTTACGGGAGTGTGTCACTTTAAAGTTCTATGAGACTTTCCTGGATTTTAATCAACATCCCATGGCTGTACATCAAATGGATCTAAAATCAAAATCGGAATTCCCATGTCAGTCAGGTCATTAAACCTGTCTTTAATTTCGCTTCAGGGTTGTAAATGACTGTCATAAACAATCATGTCTTCATCCTTCAGCTCTTCCGTGACTGTAGCGAGAATTGGATAATGTGAACATTCCCGACGCCCGATGTGTTGAGCATCCACTTTTAGCTTTTTAAGAAAGGGGATAATGTTGGCTTCTTTGCTCGAGATGAGATTACTCAGCTTGCCTTGGAGTTTTTTAAATTAGTTGTTTTCCAAAAGCAGCCGCATAAAACACGTCTGGCCTGGCTGTAAACAGTTTTCGTTCATAATCAATTTCTGAAAGATATGTGATGCTGGTGTCTCAGAGCGAAAAAGACGTCTAATGCAGTTGCCCTCGAAGAGACATTTAAGTTCTGTGTGCAACACTAGAACCTAGAAATCTTCACTGTTATCCTCACACAACTGCTAGAAAACACCATCTTGAAGAGGGTGCAATCTAATATCGTTGAATACTATTATAACAGTTTGCAGTTAATCGTTTAAGCGTCCTCCCAAATTCTTAGCCACTGGGTGTTCTGGATGAAACACAGTGAACTGCATGATGAGAAGGGGGAATATTTTTTAGATGGGAAATAAATCCTTTATTTCTGCCGACCATAGCAGCAGCACCGTCTGTTGCACAAGCGACTAGATCCTCTGTTGGAATGGATTTTTCAGTCATCTAGCTATTGACTACCACAAATATAGGCTGATACTTGTTGATGTTTTAATTCACCTGGCAAACAGCATCTCTTCCACTAATTCATTATCACTGAAGTATAGGACATATGTCAAGAGAAGGGCTACGTTGTAAGGTTACGTAGATTCATCTAAGTGTAACGAGAATTTGCTAGAGTGTAGTATATCAACTAAGGTACTTTCTATGTCCCGAGCCGTTTCATCTGTTCGCCTAGATACAGTTGAATTGCTAAGCGGAGTGGGTTGAACTTCTTCAGCAGGTCAGATGGGATTATTGATACCGATGACAGGATAATATTTTCTCCAACTTCGACTTTCGGCAATCAATTTGCTGATTTTATAAGACGCCGTAAGTCCATTCGCTTTTTGTCCTGTCAGAAACCATTGTATTTAAAGTTGGTCTTTTTTCCTAGCTATCCTCCAGATTTCTGAACAACTCTACGGACTTACTGCTTCCGTGCTTATGAACACTTACCAAATAATTTTTGAATTTACTTGGTCGCATACATTTATTTGAAGGAGTTTCGGCGAATAAAACACATAGATTGGGTGGGGTTTTGCGGCGATGCGATAAATCGAAATGACAGGTATTCCACGGAGTACGATCGACACTACTTTGTGAAGGAGTTAATTTCTGCAACGCGTCAGTGTAAGCGGTTAATTTGCAATATAACAGAATACTGCTATTGTTTTATTTTTGCATACACAGTTATATCTTGGATGCCAAATAAGCTCATTCGACAAAGCGAAGCATGCAAATGGTATGAATGATTGATGGCACTAAATTTATTTTTGCTTGACAGTTAGATTATAAGACATGGAACAGGAGTGGTGGCCACAATATAAAAATATAAAGGTGTAGAACCACTGTTAGAGTCAACTCAAACGTGGTTTCTGAGAATGATCTTAAAAAGACCGTGGGGAAGCTAAAAAGACTGAAGCAAACTTCTTGACAAAAGCCAATGAAGAAAACACATGGAACTCAAAAAATTACAATGCTCACTGGACACATATTCATTAGAGAAAAGTTAAGCCAAACAGTGCCAACAAGTAAAATGAAAGACCGAAGAGACAAACAAGGAAGAATATGCCGGATGGTTTAACAAACTGGCGTAGAAGGGTCAAAACCAATACTGATAACGTACATAGGCTTTTGCCTAAAATGGCGTCAAATGCGTGTTGGAAAGGCACGAATGCAAGAACATTGCGCATTCAGCGTACTAAGTTCGTGGACCGGAACTCGAGACTGATCATGCTTCATCAGGAAGATCACCGAACGAGTTCTTCCAGGATGGACCAAAGGTTATATAACCAATGAGAAAATATGGCACACAAAACTCAGCCAAGCTAAAGTTGGGTGCTTCCAAAATATTTTGACGGCAAGCACCCCAGAATAGATATCCCATTCAGGTATGAGCTAATTATTATTGTACCCACCATCTCTCCACAATGCAGGGACAGCTTCTGGCACAAGCGGGAAATATAGGCATCATTATAGTATCCTTATGTACACATGAGGTTATATATACTCGCCAAATCACATTTCCACATATATGGTGGAACTTGACAAAATTGCTCGGTTATTTGAAAACTGCAAATGAACTGAATGTTAGGAAAGCGTTATAAGTCGTCCTAACTCATTCGACTGTTAGACGGAACGAACGTACTTTCTTCAGTGATAGTTCTCCACTCGCGCAGAGTAGCCACACGAATTAGGAACGCTTTCGGCTGGGTTGACCTAACAGCCATACGTACACACGAACTTAGACTGGAGGAGAAAATGCGTAATCTAGCCATAATACACTGAGATCCAACGAGAACGAAAGACTGACCGGCACAAGAGTTGTCACCCAGTGGTTGTCCTAAGCAAAATTCGGTGTCAACGTGGCGACGTGCGTTAACTGCTACCGTGTGTTGACTTCACATGTATTGCAAGCTACTTCCGAGGAACGCGACCTTGGTGTGCTCATTCAGAGTGACTTTAAATGTTCAAAACAGTCTGAAGTAACTGCAGAAAAAGCTAACCAACACGTCACCTTGCTGTGGATAGCATTCGGATGTTTTAGCCCCTCCATCGTCCCCATGATGCACAACTCGTACGTGCACCCTCATGTTGAATACGCCATCAAAGCTTGGCAACCTTGGTTGAGGCGCGACATAGAAGCGTCATAAAGAACATCACGGATCCACGAAATCTGTCCCACCAGTGAAGACTGAAGTCACTGAAAGTTTTCAGCGGTTGCTACCGAAGACTGCGGAATAGCCTACCAACTATTGAGTGGACTAGTCACGTATACTGTCACTTGCTGAAAGTCAGCCAAAGCACCGATCTCAGAGCTAACGCTCTGCAGTTGAGTGAACAGTATAGCTGTCTGGAATGCTAGCGGAACGATTTTTTCTTCGGGTTTGCCAACCCTGGAACTCTATCCCAAACTTATTTACTTCCTCCCCAACACCTCGTTTCTTAAACTGTGCTTCTTCGGAATATATTAATTACTCGTTCAAGCCTGATTAATATGTTAACTAATCCGAAGGAGGCGATATAGAAGTGAGTAATCTTGTCATTAATCTTCTCACGGAGTACATCAGCTATAACTGCCTCCATGTTGCCTCGTCGCTCGCATTCAAATCCTATTTACACTACTATTATTCAGCGGCGTATCTGCTCGATAAATCCTCAAACAGACCACTCACAGTTCTTCAATATTGTACTTCTACCCCAAATATGCTGCGGAAATTGTCGAGCAACTGCTTTCGTTCCCGGCACAAATCATTGTTCATTGTTCACAGAACATTCCATGGTGTCTGAAGACAATACGAATGTCATCGCCATTAGTCACGGAGGCGAAAAGGCCGACTACGATGGTGCACTTTAGCAACGCGAGATTATCCACTCCACGCGAGCCGTTGACAGACTCGTTGCCATGGCCACGCCGGAAGCTGCTGAAATTCAGCATCTGCCGTCACGTGCGCTGCTATGAGCCCGACAGGAAGCTGCCGAGATCGCACGTCATTGTCCCAGGCGAACAATGCTGGGCTTAGCCAAGCGGGCAGATTGGCAAGGGCCAATCATCCACTGGGCGCAACAACCTGCGTGTGGTGAGTGTCTTGGTACCCAGTAGACACCTCTCGATCAAGTTCCTATCCCGGTTTTTCCCAGGGCTGGGTTGGACCATAACACACTCAGATAGCGGAGCAAAATGCACGCGTTAAGGTGCGTACACCTCAGTAGTTGCAAGCCTCGTACTTTGGGAAAGCAGGCGAACGTCTTATCAGTAGCAGAGCCCAAGGCCGATAACGGAGGCGATGCCTAACGGTTACCACAAAGGCAACACGAACGAACGAAGCGATCCTTACAACGATGGTGACAGGAGTTTCAATCGAACCCAGACATGGCAGTGAGCTTCGAGCAACTGCAGGCACTTTTGCAGCAACTGCAACTACAGTTTGAAAAATCGCAGACCAAGGTCATTGCGATATTGACGCAGAAGATATCGATATAGTAAAACCCAGGGTTAGGAGTAAGTGAAATTGTGCCCTTTCCAGAAACTCTGATTCAGCATATCAGTGAATTCCATTATGATGCGGATGCTGACTAACATTCGCTTCGTGATTCCGCAAGTATGAAGACATTTCGAGTTGATTTTGCAAATATATCAGAAGAGAAGCCAATTCGCTTGATGTCCCGGAAGCTGGCTTGGACTGAAAATGAAATGTTTACAAACTTCATTTTGCCAAAGAAAAGTACTGACCTATCGCTTGATGTAGTTGTCTCAGTCCTGGCATAACTCTCTGATAAGCAGACATTATTGTTGGCTATCCGGTACAAATGTCTCATGATAGTCAAGAAAGAAGACGAAGATTGGGTCATCTATTCGAGCCGTGTAAATCATGAGTGCGACCGTTCACAATTGCACACAATGACCGACGACCGCTACAAGTGTCTCATATACTGTGCGACCAACAAGTAGCCAGTGATGCTGCCTTTCTGACAAGAATGCTGAAAAAGATGAAGCACATAATCACAAAGTGCCAAAGAATGACTAGTCTGAAGCTTGATATGTCCATGATTCAGCAGCTGTCCAACCGCAACGATCACGACCTGATCTGTGCAGTTAGTCGCAGTCCCCAAGATGACTCAGCTCATGTGAGTCCTTCGGATTCCAAACCTCCTTCTGTTTGTTTGTTTTGTAGGGAATGGCACTTTGGTCAGAGCTGCCCGTGCAGAAATCACATTTGTGGTCTCTGTGGTAAACGGGGACACAAAGAGTCAGGTTGCCTAGCAAGTAGTCCCATTTTGACCAGGAAGAAGCGAAACAATACCATACCGTCCAGACATTCCAATAGGATCAGATCTACCACTGCCAGTTCCAATGTTGTTGGGTTCATCAGATGTAAGCATACGACGGTGGAAATCAATGACATTCATGTCAAGTTGTAGCTGGATACCGCTTAAAGTACAACCCTGATATCCCATGATATGTGGTGCACACTCGGATGACCGTCCCTATTACAAACGGGCCAAACAGTACAGAATGCGTCATGTATGTTAAAGTCGCTTGGTCAGTTGAACTGTCAAGTCAGATTGCGTGATTAAAATACCGGCACAATATGTTTCGTGACTGACAAATCGGGGTTATGTCTACTGGCTCTTGACTGGGTGCATGAGTTGGAATTGCAAGATCAGTCAGTGAACAGCATACGTCAGCAACCTCAAGTCAATCATATGTTACTACCATCATTCCTAAGCCGATGGGTTCTGTGTCACAGTCCAGAGATGAGACGATGGCACACTGGGAAAAATCGCGTAGACCGGTTCAATCATTTCGCGATTGGTGACATGAGAAACGTGAGGGATTTCCGTTGACCGAAGAAGTAGTCGACAGAATCGGTGATGGGCAGAAATGGTGGAGTCGTTCCCGAAATAACGATTGGAGACAAGAAATGGATCAGCACGTAGATCAGCGGAGGCCGAACCACGGGAAGACACAAGGGCACGCAAGCAACATGCAACGATGTACGACCAGGGGTAGAAGAATACCACCAAGACAACTGATTGATGCCAAGACCAACAAATCCAAATCGACGCAAGCATTCATGGTGGGGAAGCAGCTTCAATTCAGAAGTGAAGGTGCCACCGAGATAAAACGGCTGATCACAATGGTGCATTTTAGCACGGCAAGACTAGCCGTCCACATGAGCGGCTGACAGACACGGTGCCATCGCCAAACTAGAAGCTGCTGCAATCCAGCATCTACCGTCACGTGTGTTCAATGGCGTATTAACCACTTTTGTCGCCCGGGGCGAGCGCAAAATTGTCGCCCCCTGACAGTTGCAAATCCATTAACCCGAAATTGCGAATAGACCTTAAATATTTGTTTCATATAACGACAATCAAAGGTCTAACTTTAGAGTGCTGCTTTAATGCAGGCAATTGAATTTTTACAACACGCATGTACACTATGTACCGATACCCTTTTCGTACGTTACTCGAGGCAATGGTATTGAGAAGATTACCAAAATTCTGTCCGTTGACAGGTCCCATTTGTATGGGGGAAACTGCCACTCCGTGAGCCTTATCTCGTTTTCTGATGATTGGAGGCAGTTTGTTAAAATTTTACGTTTTGAGGACTCGCTCTCAGCTGGCGATACTAATAGTTCGAGTAAGAAAGATGCGCAAATATCCCAACGTGATATTTCGATATGAAACTCAAAAGTTCCAAAGATACATTAATTTCATCGATGCACCAGATATTACGTCTGGGTGATTACCCTATGTTGAGAACACTGCATTATCTGCGCACACCAAGCAGCACAGGAGGATACCGGTATAAGCTTGTCGTACAGGGTTTGAAGTGGGTCGCTCACCAACTCTGTTTCGAACGCAGAGTGGTGAATGTACGGAATGACCTGCCGCGGCACATAGTTGAGGCAAAGTCAGTATCTGAATTTAAGTAGTTCCTTGACAAACACTTTGCCGAGGCAAAATATATTGAGCGGAACACAATATAACGGGTATTTGTCCATGAGTGACAATTGATGCAGCTACACAGAACAAACTCTACTTGCTGCTTCTAACCAGTAAACAGTAGCTTAAAGCTTTCAACAACGAAATGAGAAGACGAATAGTGGCAGATGATAGCATTTCGTATTATCTCGTCAGTATCATTACAATAACAGGGAGATCCTTTTATGGGTCTAATAGGAGACAGTCAAGCCAATCAAATTTAAAGCTTTCACGAAATATTGCAATCTGCTTCCGGCAAGAAATTCCTATGTTTGATATCCTCCTCAATTTCGTTAGGCGGATAACTATAGTTTTTAGCAAGCAGATTTGACGGTGTAAGGAAAGCATCTTTGCAAAATCGTGCAGTTGCTGAAATCTAAGGCATTTCATCAGACAAAGTGTCTATGAGAGACAGCATCTCCTGTGTGAAGTCAGCATCAAAGCACATCGATATATCAAACAATTCTTCACCGTTTACTCGTTTCTTTTGACGGATTCGAGTCTGCATGCTTGTTCTCAATTCAGCGCGAGGTCTTTTGGATTTATTCATTGCAATGTGCACCATGTGCTCTCTTCCTTCTGAAGAAGATAAACGCATAATATTGCAAGCCTGACAGAAATTTGCTGCTGCTCTTTTGCTTAGGGATATCCCTGAGTTTTTGCTTTCCATGGGAACAGGTCTCCTAGGACTCAGAAACAATATAAACGGAAAGGAAAATACCGCGATGACACTTAAAGATGCATCTGATCTTGTGGTTGCATTTTCTCCTTATACTTTAGGGTTTCAGAGAAGTGATCAATTCTAAATATCTATTTACCCAAGATTTGCAACGCCTGCTCAGCTTTCCATCTAGATTTTACCTCCACTTGATACTTAGACCGGTGACTTGAATCATGACATTTCAGCAAGGTTTAGATGGAAAAAGGAGTATATCCAGTCCAACGTACCAAAAATGCAACCGAATGCACGGTCGCAGAAGCGGCATGAATTAGTTAGTGCAAGGCACAAATGTACATTTGGGTTGAGTTTGCAGATGTCTCAGCACGCCCGATTGGTATACCGCCATAACAGCAGCATTAGCAAATGTTTAGCCACGGTAGTCATCAATTTGAATTCAATCCTTTTCAGGGTCTCATTACCCATCCAGCAATTTTCACTGCTCTTTTGCTGGTGGCCTCAATGAGGCTGCAAATTGACTCCTCTGCCGTCGCTTCATTTTCATGCATCTAATTTTTTTGGGATACATCGGGAGTGTTAACGAAAAAAGCGACATACTTGCTTTCCTTGACCTAAGCTACGAATTTCATTGTTATCTGATTTACCAAACTGCTCGCTAATTCATTATGAACGTGTGGCGACAAAGAAGAAGTGCTGGGTTTCCGTCCCGGCTGAACTGCCACCAAAGATTCGCGAAGAACAGGTTTATGATTGGGCAACAAACGCATAAATTCTGAAAAATTCCCTATATTTCCCCGGCCTCCTTTGTCATTCTGGATATCTTCTCAGTGACCAGACAGTAGCATATGTTGCTTGGCAAAAACCAGACGATATCAAGTATTTTAGCAAGAATTTCACTCCACCTCTTTTCTACAAGTGCTGTCTACATTTTATCAATTGGTCTTCCTTCAACTAGCCGGATCGCTAGCTCCTTGGGGTTGAGGAATGACTGATCAAGCGATATACTAGATCCGTGTTCACATGCTTTTAGATCTATTTTCCACCAGTTTCTGAAGTACTTATCAGTCGAAAAACAGACGCTCTCGTTGAAAACATCTTGCAGCCGAAACGGAACAGGGTCTCTTTTGAAGGAGAATACACCATACGTGTTCACAATCATTGCTCTGTTTCGCAAATCCCGAAAAATGCAATCCGTTTTTGATGCTTAGCCCCAGCTTTTATATTCGTTCCAGGTAGAACCACTTATAGAACTCATGATCAAGGTGCTGCACAACAGTAGATCCGAGCCAGACTAACTGCGAGATTTTAATAAGCAATCTTAACACGCAACTGACAGACATCCATAAAATCGGTTGGTGTGCGTAGTATCTGTCACAGTGTGGTCGCATTTTCAATTCTCCAACTTCGCTTGCATATTCTACATCAGCATCACAAATATTTCATGCTGCCTCCATGCTGTAAATGTCGCAAACTGTTGCTCGGATATAAGCGTGTGCATCACCTGTTACATCTTCACTCTAAACATGTGTATCCGTTTCATCTTTGCTACTTCATACATGGAGGTCATTTCGATGGATATATACCTGGTATTGAAAAATAACCCATACTAAAAATGTCGCCCCGTCACATGTCGCCCGGGGCGGACCGCCCCCCCCCCTTATACTACGTCTCTACGTGCGTAGCAATGCGCCCGACAGGAAGCTGCCGAGATCGCACGTCATTGTCCCAGGCGAACAATGCTGGGCTTAGCCAAGTGGGCAGATTAGCAAGAGCCCAATCATCCACGGGGCGCAACAAGCTGCGTGTGGTGAGTGTCTTGGTACCCAATAGACACCCCTCGATCGAGTTCGCATCCCGTGTTTTTCCGCGGGCTGTGTTGGACGTTTGCAGACGCAGATACTGGAGCAAAATGCACGCTTTAAGGGATCAGTGCAAAAGCCGGGCACACGTCAGTACTCGCGAGTCTCGTACTATGGGAAGGCAGGCAAACGTCTTAACACTAGCAGAACCCAAGTCCGATAACAGAGGCGATGTTTAACGGTTACCACAAAGGCAAGATGAACGAATGAAGCGAGATTGCAACGCCGTTAAGTTATTCAAAACAAGAAGTTTTGACTCCTGATGACCACCGTCTGATTCTTAGGATGTGGTAAAATGTGGTGATTCAAGAGTAGTCACTGCGTAGCTTAGGTATGAATCTGTGGTAGACGCATCATCATCATCTTCACCTGTCTCCAGACGCGATTAAGCCAGGTTATCGCGTACCGCCCGTTCCACCTTAAGTTCTACCATCCTTAAATCGGTAACTGCATACTGTATACCTGGCTGCTCCTGCAATGTACTATCATGCGTCCCAGTGCAAGAAGCGGAATTATAGTCAGTTGGTAAATTTTTGACTTGCCGGGGTCACTTCTATGCTACGACAACGTTCTCGAGTGACTACTTTCCAATAGACGCAGTTCAAACGGGCTGGCGATTAGGTTCTTGTTGCGGGCCCGTCAAACATCCCCTCAAAAATGCGCCACAAACTCCAGCGTATGGGCTGTGGAAAGCGGAGTCCAATTCCTCCCACAACGTAGTAGGTTTCAGCCACTCCGAGACGCGGCACAACTGCGCACTGGTTGACCATGTTCTTCTACGAATTACAACCCCGTTGCGGTAGCTATTTTCACTAACTTAACGACCCATAGCATTAGCTGTGATTCGCCCTTTGTTGGTCGTAAAAGAGCCTTCAGAGGACCACTTGTCTTGCTTTCTCTTCACCGTTAGTTGGGAGTGCCTTCGGTCACTTGATTTTTGTATGCGTCGATAGCTGGGCAGCGTTCGCGTCTAAGCCACTAGCGCGCGTCTACTGTCACCCAGTCTAGGTGTGCATAGCTACGTCCGTTACGAGGGCTCAGCGTCTACCCGAATACGTGCGGCTAGGAACGTTGTCACGCTAGCGCGATTTTCCGTCTCACCAGCGCGTATCCCGGGCTAAGCTAACGCCATCACGTCAGCGCAAATCTGTTCGATCGGCCAGCGTTCCAAGCCGTTCTCGTAGGCGTGATCCAACCGTGTCAGTGACAATCGTATCAGGCTCAGGCGTCTCCCAATCTTAACCGTTCGGTATACGCGACAATCCATAAACAAAGCGTGGACTCGGAAGGCAGACTGATAAGTACAGGGCACTTTATCCAAAGGGAGCTTGCACTGAAAATTCAACTGACCAATAAACCGTTATTGATTTGTTTCACTCCAATTCAATAGAAGCCCAGCGGTTTTATGCATTCGTACTCCAGATCAATCCAACCCAACCAGCTTTTTGTGCAAACACTCTATGTCCCATGAAACCAGGGAAATCGGCGTAACTAGTATGTAATCTGCAAGGCGTATGTTGGGATCTCACTATGGTTAAGCCTGCCTCAATTGATGAACGCCGGCTTACCGATTATCCCTCATGTGATCCCATATCGATGTTGTCATGGATTTACTTCCCCGCTCAGTGTGGAAACTGTTCACTAGCATAGTGAAATCCGATCAGACCGACCCCAACACACCTCGGATATTAATCATCCTCCCATTTTAGGGGCACACACTCCCAGGTTATTCCTCCACCTTCCCTGTTTGACTGAGTAAAACCACATCAAGAGCCCCGCCCAGCGAGTTTCCCTGCCGACGCTGTATAGCGAGCCAACAAGCCAAACGTTAGCGAACCTAATAAAAGAAAAGTAACAATCGGATGGTGGAGGCTGTATTAGGTGTATTTTGATGAGCGGTGGCAAGTACAGTTTACATTCATTTGGGACAATGTGAAGACCGGAGGTTTCGAAACTGAACGGGTACTGTCGACGTATGGACATGTTTTATGTTTGTATGGTACTGTTGTTAACGTTTGGCTTTCTTTCTTGGTTGGACTCGGGAGTTTTACGCGTCACTCTAACCCAAAGCGAATTTGTCGCTTACAGCTGTTACGTGCCGTCTACGTTGATATGCGCCTCGAGATGGTCCACACCAATGTTTGGGTACTTTATCAAACCTGGCACATTCACGTTGTCATTGGCGTTTATAGAACTAGTACACATTAGTCCGAGTGTGTCCTTGCTCTGATGCAGATACCAGAAAACCGGAAGATCGGACTTAACGGATTGTATTCTAGGAAGGCTACAATCGGACGAAAAACGGATGAAGCGACCAGAGCGTATGCCAGTGTCGGAGTTCAGCGTGGACACAAGTGTTGAATCGGACGTAGGGGAAAATGGCCATAAGGTCGGAGTTAAAACAAAAACCAATAATGTACGATTGAGTAACGAAGTTGTACCAAGGAAGATAAGAAATATCTTTTGGGTTGCTACAGGTTCCAGTATTTTCTCCATTCTGATTAGGCTAACGCACTTTATTCTTGCTTCCAGTTTCCTTACATTCCACTTGCACTCAACCCAATATTTATTTTATTATTTATTATTTAGTGTTGTTATTCTTGCGAGGCATTTCGGGGCGTCTGTATTTACTGAGCTTCGGTGCTCGGATCATAGTTGTTCAACCGATCTAAACTGTATGCGAGAGCAGGAAATCTGTAATACATTGGATCTGACCCTGCATTGGATTAGCTTCTAGCAAAGCCGAAATACATATAATTTATTTACTGATTTATATATTTTGCCCCTTTGTTTTCACAGACTTTTCAGATATTTCGCTCCGGTACCCATTACAAACTAAAAATTGCGCAAAACTTTCCGAGACCCACAAAAAGAGATAAGTTTCCGATTTCGCGTTTCAACGTTTGGTCCCTACGGTATGTTGTAATTTAGATTTTCCGTATGGCGTTTTTACCCCTCTCTCTAATATTTTAGCCATATGGTAAGTGTGGAGGACCTAGTTTTGTTGCCCACTAAAACCTAAGGGATGTACAACTATGCTAAAGGTTAAAAGGTCGCCTTATCATTCTCCGATACTTCCAATACTTGACGGTGGGTAGTTTAAGTAAAGTCGGAATAAAGAAATCGCAGTTATTTCACCTAGGGAGACAGTATGGATAAATCGGTATGCATTGCAATAACAAGCACCAATACACAAGTTCACAGATACAAGAAATAAAGCAAAATCTAGCGTGGCAATATGGTTCTCACAGCACTGTCGAAATGTACATTCGTTTGTCATTCTACTCAGCATCCCACACAAATAAGGCAACAAACGGCGGCCAAAATACTGGATATCAAGCAAGTAGTTCATGAGCATAGCGAGACTGACGATGAAACTATTAAACCACGACCGTTAGTTGACCTCAGCGGTTTTCAGTAAATTTTAAGTAAGCGAACTGCTCAATTTAAGGAGGTTCACGATGGGGTAACAGATAACAATACTATACATAACTTAGAGTTCAACACTATTTATTTTGGTGGCCATGACGTCACTTCGATTGCATCATTCGATCACCTTAGAGTAGTCTTCAGGTAGTTTGAGAAGTAGACAACCCAACATCTTTCAAGCATGCAGAACTTCAGCCAAAACTCAGACTGCCATATCTCAGCAGGTCATATCATGAGCTGTTTTATACATTATCTGCAACAACGTGTTCTAGTCCGACAAGTTAAATACCATATACACGAACGGCTTTTCATAAAAAAGCAAACCAAATAAAGCTGGTAATTTAATGGGGCTCAGAAATGTAATACTTTCATATGCTTTCGAATAGCTTTCACAGCCTTGCATTTGAGCTTTCCAAATGCTGGTTATCCTGGAACTTTTAATTCGGAAAAGATAAACTTGCTGACCTTCTGCTACATGTGAACAGTAAGCTCGTGTAGGATATGTGCCAGACTACACAAATTATTGGCCATTTACAATCCAGATCTGACTGAAGTATTGCTTTAAAACTTAGTTGAGACTTTGAAATAATTTATAGGCGTACATCACAGTGCACTGTGTGTCTGCGGATATGCAATGGACACAATTGTGCCTTGTTGTAGTGGAAGCTGAATGTACAAAGACGTTGGAAAATGACTCTATTAGTTCCGCTATTATAGCTTCGGAAATTTTGAGTTGGGTCTTGTCTTCACTTGTTCCAAGTCACATTTGCATATTTTTCTTGCTAGCGCCCAGTGAAAAGATAAGCATCTAATCCCTCTAAACACATGTCAAGGCAATTTACATCCTGTTTCCCAGTTGGACAGCAAAGGAGCTGTCCCGCCCCCTCTCCCAATGATAAACGATCCAATCGCATTTGAAAGTCCAAACTGCAGCAGATTTTGTGGTACCGATACATGTAAGTGCAAGCGTACATTTTTCGGACACGCAACGACAATCGGAGCCGCTTCCTTGATGTCTCTCTGGTAGTAAAGATTTTACTCAGCTATAACACGAACAACAACAACAACAACGCATGATGTCGAAAGAAGATGCTACAGCACAACTGACATACAGTTTCTTTAAAAGGAGTTGTCAACTTTTTCGGACTCTACGTGATAAAATGTATTCTTGGCCCCATTTGGCTTGGCTCGTTTTGGTTGTCTCCGCATTCAATGTGATTTGTATTGGAGGGAAACGGCGCGCATTTGGAATATTTATCGCCGCACTACACTCAGCGTACAACGAGACTAGTATAACTGAACTCAACTGGGTCGGAGACAGTTACGCTTCCCTGGGCTTCTTCATTATGCCATTTGTGACTACTGCAATAATACGCCTCAATCGCCCATATCGAATGACCATGCTACTCGCTGGAATTGCAATATTTAGCAGCTGTGTGACATCTGCTAAAGTACAAGAACCTGGTTACCTTTTCCTAACTCACACATTGCTTCACGGAGTTGGATCCACACTAGTTCTCTGTGGCACTAGCTTGGTAACGGGTGATTATTTCGATAAGACACACAAGTTCCATGTACTTGCAACTGCGTTTGTATCTGGTGGACCTTATGGCGTTCTGATATTTGGTCCACTATTTTCGCACTGGATACAGCATTATGGCTGGCGCATGGCATTTATTTACAGCGGGATCCTATTTCTTTTTGTCACTTGCCTGGGGGCCATCACTTTTGTTCCTCGGCATGTGATTGAGTACACTCAAGCGACTTGGCTGGAGGAAGCAAATGAACCGTTTTCCTTAGAATCTAAGAGTGATCGAAGGAAGAGTTCAATCGCCCCACCATCTATGATGAAAGATTTGCCAAAGGCTAGTGATGGTCGCGGATGGGCCTTTTGTTCCTGGGGCCATATAAAACAAAACCCACAGGTGTTGTTATGGGGATTTGAGCGTCTTTTACACAACATTGTGGTTTATGGGATATTAATGAATTTAACATCTTATGTTAGTCAAGCGCTGAACAACGAGATTATCCGGGGCGCTCGAGTTAACCTATACTTCGGTTTGGGTGAGTCTTTGGTATTTACTGTGGGAGCCCTAATTGGAGACAAAATACGGGGACATTTAGTGTTCGTCTACCTCATTGGAGCAGCCTTCGCCGCAGCGTTTCTTATCATCGAGAACAGAAGCTATACAAATATTACCGTTGTTTATGTGCTATCCGGATTCACTGGGGCCTCAGTGGGAGTCGGTAACACTTTCCTATACGCCACAGCGGAAGAAGTAATGCTCGTTCACGGTTCTATTGCTTTCCCAATGACTAAAATGTTAGCAGGCATTGGAATGTTGATAGCACCTGCGTTCTCCGGTGCGATCATCGACAGTTTCGGGTACGAAGCATTCTTTGTGAGCATGGCGGTGTTGGTCTCAGTTAGAGTTGGACTACTTATACTCATATGGCTCATCTTGAGGAAGAAAAACAAGAAAGCTATGAAAGAATTAGATCAGTTAGCAGAGGAAGATAAAAGAAATGTTCAAACCACATGTACACAGAGTGTTTCTGAACGCAACGTCGGCTATAGCTTTCACAAGACGTTTCAATCGATGTCGTCAAAAGTGGACAATGATAGAGCCACCGTGAATCCTGCTCCCTTTGTCAAGGAAATGTCGACCGTTCCTCAGCAATCGTCTCAAGAACATTATATTCCGTAAGACTGATTCATATTAATTATTACCACCGTACCGCAGTAGTTTAAATCTCTTCTGTTTCATAAAGAACGTGCTAAAAACTAAAGCTTTTCATTATATATTGACAACTATCACTTAAGTTCTGACATGTAATCACGCGCCGAATAGATGCTATCCTAATTCAAGTGGCACTTCAGAAATTTTTCGGACAACGAACTCCTCTATACTGTCTTTAAAACGATATCAGTTGCACACTTTCTGAAAGTAATTACATCTGAACTCTTTTCTATAAACACACAGTGTTCTTCGATCTACAGGAGCTGCGAACGCAATCTCATAGTCAAGTCAGAAGTCAACAAGATCTATATATTTCTTTGTTTTATTTGAACCGGGTACCGAAAAGCACGGTTAGATCCTTGCGTGCTGCACTCGCATGGAAACATGAAGTGAAACGACTTTCTTCCGTTCATTTATTAAAGCAGTACATTAATACTGGCTTCTGAAACCCACCAGTAAGAATGAAAATGGGATCCCCGAAATTTTGTCAAAGGAGCTGACCAAGTTATCTTAAGGATTTTGTTTCGGAGTTTCAGCATAAACCTACTAGGTGTTATCTCGTGCGACGGGCTGAAAATTAGAAGATGCAAGTAAATAGACGAATGATTGACGGAAATTTTGATCTCAGTCGTCTGTCACCAACTTTCCTTTGATCTAACATGAGTAGTAGCTCGTTGCCTTCACCACAGATATTGCTTGGCGAAATCGCGAAGCATAATTACTAAAATCTATGGGGTAACGCCTCTATGCATGGATTCCTAGTTCATATGAAATATCTTATTCAGCTGCATCTAGTTCCTCATTCAAACAGATTACTTTGTCACAAGGGAATTTCTGACATGAAGTACGAAATGTTTGAAGCACAGCAGTTTTGACAAAGTATCAAAAAAAACCAGTAACTAAACCAATTAGTACAGTTAGCTCAGTAACCTGGTAAGAAGTCAGACTAGTATTGTCAATTCTTTGACATCTCACGAAACGCATTCCTCTCGAAGTGCGAGTTGCATGACATCGATGGAATTTTGAACATGGAACTCCAAGTGCGACAGCTACCTTTTACATCAGCCCATTAAGATAAACCAAATGTGTCCTGGTCACATCTGCTTTCAATATGAACTTGACGACCACTCTGATCACCGTTCCAACCTAAAAATCAAGGTAAATGACATAAAAGTATAAAAAGTAGAAATATCATATGTTGTCGGTTGTGTTCAAATGTGTGCGCAAGTTGTGGAATGTAAGCACAAAATAATGTCTGAGCAAAAGTTAGGTCGCAGTTGAATGACCCAGGATGAACTTAGTGTCAGCACTGAAGCTGAATGCTTCTAATCAAGTTATGTTTTTCTCACCAAACATTTTAACTATGCCCCATACGATGAAAATTTGCATGACTTCTTATATGACGATAAGGCGTTTTACGACGCTACACGTACGTTTGTATTTATGGCTAACCTAGAACGGAGGTAATAACGAACTTGCTCACTGAGGCAGGATCGACCCCTCCTACGCTAGTCAGCTAGTTCAGAACTTTCCTCAATTACATAGCAGGACTTTTAGTTGCTTTTTGACAAGGAATTGTGCGAACACCGTGGTCTCGCATCGAGGTCATCTGTCTTTCTGATATGCATAACGAAACAACTTCCGAGTTTCCCGATCGCTTTTAATTGTTGCATCTCCAGCTGGGGGTTTTCATTCTTGGCACAACTAACAGAGGCGAAGCATAGCATAAATGAAACAGATACGTTTAAGGTGGTGGACAAGCGGTACCCTCCAAAATCCGACTTTACTAAGTTATGTTGTTAGTCTACACTTTAATACAGTTCTGGATGTATTTCATCAACCGAAACTGCTCACATATCTTGAAGACGTAATTATATCATCGCATAGTGCAAGTTAGCTGATGTAGTGCGCTAGTTAAACAACAGCTAACCGCGATGATTTGGAGTCAGGGCTTAATCTACCATTTAGCTTCTTTGTCAGTTTAGATTAACAGAGCTTGTGGCCGTTTTGTTTTGATTACTTACGTTACTGTTAAGACTTTGAACATGATAGGAGACTCAGTTAGAGATTCTTGTAATATGGGTCTGATGAAGCCTGTAGCATTCAGACTCAATACGTGATGCAAACTGAACCCGCTAAAACAGGTCAGTACGGCGGCCATAATCGAATGGCATTCATGATTGCAAAAGTGAATACAGTACTAGATGTGGTGGCATCGATTATGCAGTAGCCCTGTTTCCAGCCATTCAGTGCGGTTTAACAAATGTGCCTCCGACCTAGCCAAAAGGCGCGTCCACCCCAGATAAAAAACGGTGATGCCTTGGAATTCTGAAACACTCTTTCGTTCTGTTCATCGATCAACCAAAGATTAGGTCTGTCATGGCCTTTGTAGAGTCAGAACAGTGTGCATTCTTGTGCTAGTTTATAGATTCTGTAAGCATAAAAATTAAAAGATGAAACAAAAGTTCCATTTTTGGCTCATTAGTGAACGTTTGGAGACAGCGTCTTATAAAGGCACCAATACATTAGGTTGTTTTCTGTTACTTCGACTTTTCATGCGAGTGTCATTCAGTATGTGAGTTGAATGTATGCAGTGCGACCGAACTTCTTGTATGATCCAATGAAATGGATATAAACGAACAGTGACCAAAGCAAACTATTCATGGACACGATCTTGGTTAGCTGGTTGTCCAGCTTTATGAAAAGCAGCGTATAAGCTGCACTTTACGGAAGTAGTTGGCTGCTGTAAGCGCAGCTAGGCCTCACATTACATCTTCATAGTTGACTCAAGCAGAGAAGCTCGGGGAATTAATGATTCGAACTCATGTCTGCATTCAAGTTTGGAACCACCGTGAATAATATATGCATATCATTCAGCGGTCACAATGGGTTCCGATGGCATTTCAACTAGGCTGTTTCGTTTGTGAGAAATATTCCCCGATACACTATTGCCAAGGATACACCAAAAATAATCCATTTAAGCCTGATTGCAAAGTAATTATGATAAGTCGCCTAGTTCCTTACACTGTAACCCTTGTATTCTGGTAGATGTTATGTATCGAATATAATCCTAGGTATGAGTTCTTCTACGTGAATTCAACACCAGTACGAACAGCCTGCTTGGAACTTTGGATTTGTTTGGCCAAATGGTACTGCTACATAGTAAAGGGGCAGCCTCATGCGGCCTCAGACAATCCCACGTGTGGCTGGAATTTCCTGATTGTGTATATGACTGTGTCAGTTGCCAAGAGGATGTTACGTAAACGTAGAGAACTAGGCCAACTGAGCTAAGGCGACGAAGTGGTTGCCCTAAAAGCTTGGTTAAGAATTACCATTATCGATTAATGAAGAAAGACATACATAGAATCAGGACTGTTGAGTACATCTGAAAAAGATTAGGCTTTCGCTACTATCATATCATTAATGTTTAAGCGTTCTGTGTCGGAAAGAACAGTTTCGAAATGTCTTAGAAAACAGACGACTGTCTCCATGCTTTTCGGTTGACCGCGTCGTGTCGTCTGAAACCTGCTGACAACACATGGATTTTTGAAGTAGTTTTAAAAGTTCCTTCATCAATACATTTAGCTAGACTACTGGGTTAATATGCAGGACCTTACCTTCTGAGTATCATCTGGTTAGTTATAACTGCCTGATGAACTTTTGTTACGAAGAATAGCTTAAAAAATGCTTTGAATCGAAAGATAAAGAATACCGTTAGTAACAAAATCACTATCCATGACTTCACCACTTGATTGGAGGCCGCACAACGTCAATGGCGCACCTGTATGGATGGGTTCGGAACCCACTTGATTTGAACGGTTCTTTCGGTCCCAGCTTCCACAGTGCCCTGTAATGAAAAGATTGAAACTGTCCTTTTATAATACTATGACTGAAGAAGCTACATACCTTAGGGAAATACCAAAACTTTTGTTGTACAGAGCTGTAGATCTGTTACTGTGGCCACGATATTAGGGCTGTAAGTTTTGGTGAAAATGTATGTCTTTACGCCCAGTGTTAGTTCCGTTACCTACATTGCTATCGCCGTAACTAGGCTGCAGTATCGACCTAGTCGGTACTTGACAGTGCGCGGTTCCCCACAAGTACCTGCACTTCGTGTGTAAAAAGCAAACTGAACTGTTTTAAACTCCTCTTGGTCTAGGGTGACTACCACAAAATAGCAACTACGGAAATACGTGTGACATGGGTGCATCGACTGGGTGGATCTAATAGTTGTATCTCCATCATCTCTACCATAATGCCTTAACTACACTGTACGATACACCGGATGGTATAAAATAGAAAATCTGCTTGTCAGAAACACGAGTGCGGATTTATATGTGACTACAAAAGCAGAAATTTGTCGCATGGTTCCAACTGCCATTGCAAATTCGCTATCTTTATTGACAAGCTAATCGGAGTCTACCATTTCATCGCGAAGCGATTCCGCAATGGCCGCTTCTTACACCACACGTAAGGCGAGTAAGTGGGTTAAGTAGGTGAGTGAGAACTTCATTGTCGCGGAAAAAATTCGTGGATTATCGTCTTCAGGATTAGAAAGCAAACGAACCTTGCAGTTAAAAGATAAAACCAAATATAAATGAGTTGTATAGAACAAAACATGAGTAATCAGTTGCAATTTTCCTGCTTGCTGGCATTTTATTGGAAGTGCGGACTGTGGGCAGCAACCTAGCTATAATCCATTTGCATGTTGCTGTGTACATAAAACGATAACGTTAATCATCCCAGGAATGAGGGTCGAGGTTGATGGACTAACTTCATTTACTTCATACTTTTTACACCATGGCATTAATAAGAATACATACTCTAACTCTAACTCCCAGCCACGTAGTGGTCTTTTGGAACCCAAGAAATGCAGCAGTTCTAAAGGCGAGTTATCCTGGAAAAGATTTGGGATTGATCGGAAAGCCATCGTTTCAGAAGGGATGGTGAAAATTGCTTGTTACGATCTCTTCTGGAATCAAGATCTAAAGGCTATTTCGATTGTATGTGCCATGCTAGCTATTCTGTGGGACGACCACACCCAGACTGGACGCTAATGTGGCAAGATGGTTTGCTTGGCATGCCGAGTAGTGTATGGTTGCGTCATCCAACCGTATTCTAAATATCGCCATTGTCGATGCAGATACGATTGATTAGGGGATAACATTCTACAGGTGACATGCATGAATAGAGAAATATTTCTGTTGCTCTCCAGACACCTACACTCGTCTTCGAGTTTCAATGAGTTACTTGTCAGCTTTGTAGTATTCAAGTCCAGTCAAACCAAAATACTCTTTATACACCATGGTAAAGATATATTTTCAGCATTTTACACCAACACTGCGAATGGAGGCATACAAGGGATTAAGGAATAAAAAGACATAAATTGTCTACTGCAAAATGTTTGCGTAGCACTCGAGCAAAAAACAGTGCATCCTGCTGACGACTTTCCTTGGCTCCACAAGTAATGGTAATATGTATAGTAGGATAGAATTGTGCTGAGAAGCCGTATGAGAAAATATGATCCCGAATTTACAGCGGTAGAAGAAACAGATAGCGCTTTCGTCAGAGCTGCATATAGTGAATGAAAAGAGTCGTTTAGAACTTTGTGTTACAGTACGGAGTGGCATGAATTATGTGAGTCGTTTAGAATCAAGTGGACCATTATCAGGTTGCCTCGTAATCGGCGATACCATCCGTTGTCTACCACCAATCACTTCAGCCTCTGCTCGTATGGAAGATTGCGCATTCCATTAAGTATGGAGCGTAGCTTGTATTTAATCATGTTGAATCGCAGTAAATTTTGAATTGACTATTGATGAGGGTGTCTAAGTTGCTTTGACATCAATTCTGATTGGCATAGCACTTAAATGCGCCAAATCGTGGTGGCATCGGAAAACAGTAGAAAATATAAGGCAATTGCTTGTGAGGGGTCATTAATGAATAGCAAAACGGAACTTTGAAGCACACCAGACTCGAATTGTGTAGGATCTGATAACGAGCTCCGATATCTGTCCAATAATTGCCGTTGAAGGAGAAAGTTGGCCGTCCAGCTCAAAAGAAGTTCACCGCTCCTTTAAAACTGGAGCTTGAAATGGAGTGTCCGATGATCAAGATGCTCGAATGTCTTAGAAAAATCCTAGCAGATCACATCAATGCCATCTCCGGCGTCAGCTGACTCGGTCTAACTACTTGTTGTGGTTAGTAAATTCGTTGTGCACGATCGGTGTCAATGGAAGTCGTGCTGTTTGGGAGTAATAAGGTTACAGTTTTCCAGATAGTAGACCTGCGTATGGGCAGTTATCTATTTCATGATCTTGGCAGTACGTGAGAAAGCGAAAAATGACGATAGTTTGAAGGTTCGGTACTGCTTCCATCTGTGCGAATCCGACTTTGTATTCCAAGCTTCCATAGGTCAGGAAGGTGCTTCTGGTTTAACCGAGGCTGGTAGAAATTGGCCAAAGGTTCTGCCACTTGTCTTGCTGCAGCTCCCAGTTCTTCCGAGCGAATGGTATCATGACCCAGGGAGCAGAGGTTGCGCGTAAACGCCAGCTGTTGCAAGACGGCTTCAGCGGTAAAAGAGATGTGGGTAAGTATGGCGGCCAGATAACAAAATCTGGAAGATCGTCTGATGGCAAGAACTTCTGATATGTGGGAGCATATTGCATCCGTAGCGCGTTTGCTGCTTCCACAGCCGTCCTTATTGGGCCATCAGTTTGCTAAACTTACAAAGACAATTGCCGTGCTTGTAGAACAGTTTGTGACTAGCACTGAAGGCATTTGTTACATTTTGCTTATGCAAGGCTTTATCTTTTCTGACTGGTTGAGGGCAGTGGTTAGTTGGCTATGTAGTTGTCCCAAGTGTCTGGCATTGGAGCTGATCTATGCAGTCGTCATGCTGCGTTGTGTACTGGCATCCATTTTCGACTTCTGCTTCTTCCGAAATAATCTGTTTTAGACTCATTGCAAACATTTGTTTCTGAAGCATCTGTAATCAGCCGACTGAATTTGTTGGCAAACTCGAGTCAAGCGACTTCCGGGAGTCTTCTGCAAGGAACGACCAGGTTGTGACGTGGACGACTTGGGCTAATCGATGGTAGCCTGTGATGGTTCGCAGAGACTTATAGTTCGCATTCGGATATTCCGCGTAGCAGAAGAGGTTGAAACTAATGACTGCATGATGACGGCGACGCAACCGGTAGTCTGCAACCAAAACATAAATTATATGTTCTTCGTTGGTGAGCATAAGATCCGGCACAGATGACCTGTTACCTTTTCTGAACCAAGTGGGCAAAGGGCCGTGACTGTAAAATGGAAAACTGCTTACGAGTTCCTGCAGATAGGCTTTGAATTGTTTTCTGTTAATGTCAGGGGCTTCTAAACGGTGTACTTTTAAAGCAACCCTTACAAGGGTGTGAGTGTACCTACCATTTTGAATGCATCTTAGATCAGTGGAAGTGGCAGTCTGTTTCGGATGTATAGTTAAGAGGACAGTACACAAAGGCTATAAGGCAAGTCTCTGTGCTCTTGAACTGCAGGGGGCACCAAAGGGAATGGGGGAACTGCGAGCCTGTATCCTCCATAACCTCACAGTGCAAGTCGCTTTGGTCATACATAATTCTCTCGTCCCTTTGGGAGCCTCTCATTCCCCATGAGCGGCATGCTCGGTAACAAAAAGTCAGCGTCCTTCATTACAGTGTTCAATCATGTTTCAGTGTTATCAGTGAGATAATATGGCTCGGAAAATTGGCGGCCTTTCAATTCAGCTAGCTTATTGAAAGAGCCTGAGCGTTCGTATGCAAGCAGGCTAGTTTCTCTGCTCTGTGAGCCCGCAGGGGGTTAAAGGAGTTACGTGTGAGAGGATGCCGACAGGTGTGAAGTTTGCCATCACTCATTTTTTGTTGGAACACTAATACCTGGTCTGCAACTTGATTCGACCAAGGCGCGTCCTAACACTCCTCTAGACCTAAGAATTGATTAAAGGAGCAGTCAATTAGAGCTCTTGTCTCGTCACCGATAAGTTTGCTAGTTCAGATGATTTCATACCCGGGCTTCGCAAAGCTTCTGCAGCCTTCGCCTAAAATTCTGATGGAAGGGTTTTCCCATTTTTCCGCCATCAATCCAAAACATCCGTTACTGTCTGCTCGGGTAGAACCACGAGTATTATGGTTCTTGGGTCGCATCCTCTATAATGTGGTGAGAGAGAGCCGTTTGAGCCGTCACACCACAACACTACCCAAGTAATGTGCTTCTTGAATGAACTGTGACTGTTCTAAGTCGTGATTTTTGGCCTCTTAAATCTAGTTGGTAGGAACCTCTGACACGCCTTGGATGAAGAGTTTCGCTAGGCGACCTTGCTTGCTATGTTCTTCATCGGTGTTTCTTTTCGATTGTCGCACACTCCAAGGGACATGGAGATGGATGCGTATCCCACAGGACCCTTATTGTAGCGCACTTGTAGAGAGTAAAACGTTTATATATATATATATATATATATATATATATATATATATATATCTGCGGAGGATTCTAATAAGTCGGGGTTCACCATAATGCGTATAGTTCGGGCGACGTAGAACTCGTATTAAGTTTATGCGTTTAACGTTGACGTCCATGAAAAGGCACAACCATTTTTATTGGTCTTGATCGTACGACAACTTATCTGGCAATGGGATGACGGTAGATTCGGGGATATTTATGCACCAAACAGTCAGGGCCTTTTACGTTGAGATGCGGTGTTGGGTACTCATGTGTCCTGACTTGCTGCCGGGTGATGATTGTCTACTGCTTGTCTCTCTATTTACGTTACTGTTGTTTGTAACAGAAAAGACCCGCAAGGGTGGACTC